AAAAACAAAAAAAAAAAAAAAAAAAAAAAAAAAAGGAATGGACAGAGATTCTAAGAGGAGCTAAAGGTTGAAGTTTTCCTAAATTATATTTTATCTTAGGTATCCTAAGGATCTTTTTCTTTCTGTTGTGTTTACTTGGTGTTCTCTTGAATTCTGACATAGAGGTTGGCACAATTCCTCTTTTATAAATGAAAAACCAAGGCTTTGAGGTGAACTCAACCCTGGTAGGACAACAAAACTGGACTTGGCAACTTCCTTCTGCATCTAGCAAGAGCCCCTCTTGTCTGGAGAGTGTCCCACAGACTCACCAGCTCAAGGGCAGGACAGGGCAGATGCTGCCGAATTGCTTCCAGCCTCTCTGGGCTCCTCTGAATCTTGGCAGCCGAGGAGTCTGCCTGGAATGTTCCGTCGTCCACAAGGTGATGCCGGCCTGGAAACTTTCGTTCCATTGAACTCTGCCAGGAAGCTATACTTAGCCACGCAATTGCAGGCCAGCAGTGGGTTCTCTGAATATAGATAGTAACAAGTGGGCTATTTTCAAACATTAGAGAACCCCCCGGAATATTCTGTGCCAAAATGATATTTATAGAACCTTCTGGGCTGCTGGAAGCAAGGGTAACAACCTTAGCGCCTCTTGGGCTTTCAGCAGAGATTTCTTTCAACGGGGAAAGGGGAGAGGCACTGGGCCACCCGGAGGCCCGCTGTCCCTGGCACACCTGTTGCAGGAGCCCAGGCGTCCCTTGCTTGGGCCCCATGACTCATTTAACACACAGGCCCCACCGATCTTCCCTCCTGCGCACTTTGGTGCTGGCCCCGTCCTTGGTCAGCCCTGAAGAGGCGGCTCGCCACTTCATGGAGCTTGTCACATTATTTTGCCCTTGTCCAGGTCCTCATGCATTTCTTAGGCTTCTGCTCTCGCCGGGACATAACTGGGCTGTACCTGGAGCATCTGCTTCCAACTCCCTCAAGTCCTGAGGCCTCTGGTCCCTCCTCCACCCCTGCTCCTGCCTCCAAGAGAGGTTCCAACAACATGCCTGGAATAGTTTGCTCAAAAGGCCTTTAGGGAGGAAGGAGGGAATGTGACGAGTAGAGACTTGGTGGGGAAAAAGATGGCCTGCAGGTAGGGAGACCCACACAGCGCCCCCAAAGAAAGAGTGGCCAAGCCAACTTCCCCCTTTCCTGACTTTCATTCCATAGGTGTTGGGAGAGGGCCCCAGCAGCCCAAAGTTTAGATGAGTATCCCAGGTTAATGTTCTAACGATCAGGCAAAATATGGAGGAAAGCCCATGTGGGAGGTTCCTGAGCACTGGGCCGTAGGCCGGGCAGGCCCCACGGTGGGAGCTGGCTGGGCGCCGGGGCTGCCTTCAGCCTGACCTACCCTCAGAGGAGTCTCTTCCATTCATGCCATGCCGGCTCCCGGGCAGGTGTCCACCTTCCTTCTGCCCCCTCTGCCAACCCACCCTCCACCACCCGCCCTCTGCCAGAGATATAAATGTAAGAGCATTTTCCATGAGCTGGTGCAGAAGGGAAAACATTCGACTTTATTTTCGGCCTGTGAAATTCCCTTCCTTCTCACCCGACAGGTGCAACCACCCCATTTAGATATTGGGGCACAGAAATAGAACACGATTTACAATATAGTTTCCTTTAGGCATCTGGATGCTATTTTTAAAAAAGAAAAAGAAAAGGTCCTCCTGTGAGATGCCCAGACCCAAAACACAAACGTTGGTTGGGGTCTTGCCTTGTGTTGGGATTGAAAGGACCCCTCTGCCCCAGGTGGCATGACCCCACATGGCAGAGGAGGCCAGAAGCTTTGGGAGAAATTTGGAAGGCAGGACAACCTGACTGGATAGGAGGCTATTCTCACCTGGCTCCAGGGCCCAGGCGCTCACCCTGACAGGGGTAGTGGAGAGGAGATGGGGGAGGGGAACCGGCCATGGCCTCTTGGGGAGTGGGACTTTCACACACTTTGGAAGGGGATGTTTCCAGTCAGTCCCACCAGTTAAAACCGGCTGGCCCCCATGATCCTTTGTAGACTGAAGGAAAAAGAAGAGGGTTGGTCTCTTCTCTCCTTGGCTGTAAGCACAGGGACCCAGCAAGGCGACTCTTACAAATCCACATGTTCTCATTGGCTGTTTGGGTTAAATAGTGTCCCCCAAAATCCATATGCTAAAGTCCTAATCCCCAGTACCTCAGAATGTGAAATAGGGAAATAAGGTCTTTGCAGGTGCAATTAGTTAAGACGAGGTCATACTGGAGTAGGGTGGCCCCTAGTCCAATATGACTAGGTCCGTATAAGGAGAAGAGAGACACAGAGATGCCACAGAAGGGAGATGCCACGGGAAGACGGAGGCCAGGATTGGGCAATGCTTCCACAAGCTGAGGAACGCCAAGGATTGTCAGCAGCCTCCGGAAGACAGGAGAGAGGCCTGGGGCAGATTCTGCCTCAGCCTCAGACCTCGATCTGGGACTCCTGGCCTCCAGAACTGTGGGAGAATACATTTCTGTCACTTAAGCTGCCCAGGCTGTGGCCTTCCCTATAGCAGCCCCATCAAAGCCATGCATTAGCTGAGTGGGCACATCCCCAGCCTGGTCCACAGCCCCTGAAGGGACAACCAACACCACGGGGGAGGCAGTGGCTTTCTCAGGGAGCATCTCCTCCCCACCAGCTGACCTGGGGGCTGGAAGAGGCTGGAGCCGCAGCTCTCCTGGAAGGTCTATATACTCAAGGTCACCCTTGGTCCAGCCACCCGAGGTCAAGTTTTCTCTAGGATGTCCCCTCTCAAGGGGCCATCACTGAGCAGGTGTCCAAGCCCTTCCACGCCTGGCAAGCGCTAGCCAGGCTGAGCCTGCAGGTGGGTATGCCCCAGGCCGATTCCTGCCTGTGTTTGGACTGGAGAACAAGGGGCCTGTGTGTGTTCACAGTGAGCTTTTCTGAATGCTCTCTCCTCATGGAGAGGAGGCTCAGCAGAGAGGGGAGCCTCTGCCACCTGCTGTGTGGCTCCAGGGCCAGGACGAAGGTGCCCAGCTCATGTCCTTTGGCTGGGGCCGTAAGTGGAGCTGCTGACAGCAGGCCAGCCCTCCTGAGAGAGCAAAGGAGTCCCCTCCTGGAAACCTCCCACCCACTGTCCTCCTTGGCAGAGGTGTCAGGGACTCCATCAGTCTCTGTGTGACTCTGACAAGTCTCCCTGCTTGATCGTCAAGTCACCCTCTAGGACTGAGCTGGAGACACTCAGACACACTGAAGAGCATGACCAGCCCAGCAGTGGCCACCTTCAGCCTGGGGGTGAGAAGAGGCCACAGAGGAGAAGGAAACAACGGCACTGAGCTGGGCAGTGGGGAGCACATGGAGGGGCTTGGCTGTTGGTGGACATGGGGCTCAGCCCTCAGCAAAATGGCAGCAACCCAGCCGAGTCCTCACGATGCTCAGCAGCTACAGACAGAGCTCTGGTTTCTCTCCTCCACTTGGAGAGAGTGAATCGCCCGCAACCAGCCGCTGGCAGCCTGCCCCGCCGTCCCCCCGAGTCTTGGACCCCGCTTCACTCTTCCATGCTGGTTAATGCTGCTCCCATTTCTGGCCCCATCTCTTCCCCTGGCTGCGGCATCCCCACCCCCATGTCCATTCCCATGACAACGCCTCACGTGCAACGCCGTCACCACAGTCTCACACCTACGCTGTGGCCAGAGGGGCCCACGTTATCCTTGAACCCTGCTGCCTCTGGAGAACCTCCCAGAATTGAGCTCCTCCACAGACCCAGGGGATTGGGCAAGACTCAGATCTTCAAGAAACATAACAGGCAGGAGTGCGGAGACTTTATTACCCCACAGTGTTGCCCCTGAGAAGTTCTGTGAGCCCAACCAAGGCTACTGCTCCCCAAGGTTCCATGATGGATGATTCCAGAGGCTCGGATCAGGCAGCCTCCTTTGTCCCGATGTGCCCACCCATGCCCCACGCTGGTTCGCCCAGGCCTGTGGCATCAGAGGGAGGGTCTGCCTAGGAGGTGGGAGGGTGTGCCGCTGCTCCCCAAGGTTCCATGATGGATGATTCCAGAGGCTCGGATCAGGCAGCCTCCTTTGTCCCGACGTGCCCACCCATGCCCCACACTGGTTCGCCCAGGCCTGTGGCATCAGAGGGAGGGTCTGCCTAGGAGGTGGGAGGGTGTGCCTGTGTGTACACGTGTGACATGGGGCAGACAGAGGCTGGGTCTCCGAGGACGGACCACACAGGTGTGCTCGCCACAGTCAAAACTGTTCAAGTCACAAAGGAACCCAGGCAGCCCCATTAGTCAACTCAATAGCAGGGACTGCCCAACGCTGGTGACCACTTCCCCCAGTGTTAAACTCTTGGAAGAAAAGAACCAGAAACCAGACCCAGTTGAGGTTGGAACCGTGGTTCTCCTGCTGGCGGAAGTGCTCCCTGGGAGAGATCTCTGAATGGAGCTTGGTGGGGTGAGAGGTCGACACGGGAGCCTCGGTCCTCCAGCAACCCTGCTGGACTTCTCCGGTTCTGAATGGACATGGGCAGGGGTGAGCAGGCGGGGGACAGTCCCCCAGAGGCAGGCCAGGCGCCTGCCCTCCCAGCATGCCTGGCTCCTCTGGGCACACCAAGGGGGCCCCAGCCTTCAGTTCTTGGGGCGAGGTCACCTCACTCCTACCTGCACCAACCGCTGTGCTGCTCAGGGGCCGGGGCAGCAGCCAGATTCCTCGTGCCGCACCAAGAGGGACATGCGGGAGAAAGTCTTGGCGCAGCACTTGCACTGGTATTTCTTGGTGTCAGAGTGTGTTTGCAGGTGAGCCCGAAGATTGGAGCGGTCAGCAAAGGCCCTGCTACAGTGAGAGCAGGCATAGGGCTTCTCACCTGGAGGAGGAAGACAAGAGGGCCAGTGAGTGACCACTGGCCAGTGGGGGGTGAGACAGGCTGGAACAATACCATGGCAGGCCGCTCAAAGGTTAAAATGCCCCTTCTATCAATGAATAACCCTGTTCCTCCCCCTCCCAATGCTCACTCACAACTAAGCTTTCAAGGTTGGAGCTGCCTGGGGACAGGGCGGATGTCACGCAGACTACACCATCCCAAGCCCTTCCTAGGGGCAAAGGCAGCTATAGTTGCTGGGTCCTTCACCATTCCTGCTAAAGCCTCCTGAGGCCTTGGCCACTCTGATCTGGACGCTAGAGGAGCTGAGAGCCTCTGCAGCTGTTCCTGGCCACTGACGGCGAGAGGTGGGAACCAGCCGGGCTCCAGCAGCGTCCAGCATGAGGGCAGAGCTGGAAGGAGGGGCTGTGCTCCTCAAGGAGGCCACATTAGGAACCACCTCCAGCCAGAGCAAGCAGGTTTTTGGACAAAGTCCTTCTGTTGGGACCGTGGCCCCCTGGATGACTGTAACAAGTATAAAGAGAAGGGCCACTGGAAATCATCTGTCCAGTCCTGCAGCCCCATGGAGTCCTGAGAGACACCAGCCTGCGGCCCCAAGGGGCCCAGGGCACCCGTGTCCCTGCTGGCTGGACACCAGGCACCCTCCCAGCAGGCCAACTTCCTGCAGGGCCTCCCCACATTCCTTACTCCCTGGCCAAGAGCACCAAGCCCCTGACAAGCTTACACCTGGGTTTGTGGATCCAGGGCCCTTAGGTGCAGGAAAGGGGGTGCTCGGAGGGCATCCTCAGCAAAAGGTCTAGGAAAACCAGATAGGATTTCCTATGGGACTGGAAAATGGCTTCTCCAAAGCGCCTTCTTTCTGGCCTCAACCCAGGTGTGACTCAGAGCCATGGCTTAGGGGTCAGGGAGCCTCCAGTTACAAAAAGCACGTTGCAACTGTGGGCCTGCGAGAGATCAAAGCTCACCCCGGAGCTCTGTCTCTCCTTTCTGCGTATACTCTGCACGCTGTGGCTGACAAGAAAGAGCTAGGCTGAAGGCCCGGCTGGTCCTGGGCAGAGCAGGTCATTTCCACCCTTATGGGCTTTCTTTTTAATCTGCAGAATGAAGAGGCTAAAACTCCTGGCTTACTCAGCTCTCCTTCCTCTGTTTCCTCATCCTTCTCATCCAATCCACAGCTGCTCTTTTCTCCTTCTTGTGTCTGGTCTGCCTTCCTCTCTCAGGTGGGCGGGTTGGCTACCCCCTTCCCAAATCCACAGCCTCTGCCCTCAGCCAGGCCATGACCTGCTGTGGCCCTCCCACCCAGGCCGACCTTTTCCACCTGCCCACCCCACTGCTGCAGGATTCTGGAGGCCGTGGACTGTGGGCAGATGGACCTGAGGAGGTCCTGCGAGTCCTTTGCTTTGTCCAGTCTTGTGGGTTGAATCGTCTTCTCCCAAGAGATATGTCCACATCCTAACCCCCATACCCGTGACTATGAACTCCTCTGGAAATAGGGTCTTTGCAAATATTAAGTTAAGATGAAGCCATCAGGGTGGACCCTAATCCAATAAGACTTATATTGGTGTCCTTATAACAAAGGGAAAATTTGGACACAGGCACACATGGGAGAGGCCATGTGAAGACAGAGGCAGAGATTGGGACGATGTGGCCACAAGCCAAGGATTGGGGCAGCCACCAGGAGCTGGGAGAGGCAGAAAGGATCCTTGCTTAGAGCCTTCAGAGAGCGCAGCCCTGCAGACACCTTGGTTTCAGACTTCTAGCCTCCGTGACTCAGAGAATAGATTTCTGTTGTTTGAATCCCCCAGTTTGTGGGACTTTGAGCTGGTGACCTCAGGAAATGAACATGCTGGGGAAGCAGGAGCTGGCTGTGAATGCCCCTCCTACCGTTTGTAAGATCAACCCTTCCTCTCTTTCCTAACCCCCAAGGCTCACCCACCCCCAACCCAGATCCTTCTGGAGGACCCCTAATCCTGTCCTACCTGTGTGGGTCCGGATGTGGCCCTGGAGCAGCCAGGGCCTGGAGAAGGCCTTGCCACAGATCTTGCAGATGCAAGGCAGCGTGTGGGTGCGGATGTGCATTTTGAGGGCGCCCAGGCTGGCGTACTCCTTGCCGCAGTACTTGCAGGTGAAGACGCGCCCTGCCTGCAGGTAGCAGTGGAGCTGCCGGTGCCTGGCCAGCCCAGCCAGCGTGTGGTAGGGCTTGTGGCAGCGGAAGCACACAAAGCCACCAGGGGCTCGGGCTGTGCCTTCAGCCCCGGGCAGTTTGTCTGGAGTCCTGTTCCCATCTGGGCCCAGGATTGGGGGCCACCGCGTGGGCAGCACCAGCACTGGGGGCAGGTTCAGGTGGTTCAGGCGGTCTTTGAGGGGTATGCTGGGGGCCCGGCTGGCCTGAGGATCCACCCGGCTGATTTCCAGGGGTTCTGGCCCAGAGGCCCTCACAGCTTCCTCATGCCGCGGCAGGAGGGGCAGGGAGAGGCAGGAGATGGCGGAGGTGCAGTCCCAGGACAGGGGAGGGTCACCAGGCATGGAAGGGGCCGCCTTGTCTGGGGGGAGGAGGGGCACCACCAGCCCCCCACAGGCAGAGCAGGCACCATTGATTTCTAGAAGGGCGGAGGCAAGAGAGAATACGAGGTGAAGACTGGTCCCCGACGCTTTGTGTTTTCAAACTTCCATTCACAGATCTATCACAGCCATCTTTAGGGCAAATGCTGCCGGGCACCAGCATTCAGACCGTCCTGCAAGAGGGACGGTGCTGCCGCACAGGAGGTGAGGCCATACAGTGACACGGCAATCCAGAACGACCAGAGTCTAGAGCGTGAAGCTCGCTCCTCTGTAAAAACACAGAGACGGAAACACCTCCTGGGACCCCTCGTGTCCAGTAATGTAAAACAGCCCTCACAGGGCAAAGGAACTCTCCCTCCGCCCAGGGCTGGGCCGGCCTCTCTGATGAGCCACATCCCACCTCCAGAATGTGGGTGCCGGCCAGGACCAGTGCCCTCCAGCCTTCCACGCAGCGCGAAGTCACACACTGGGCAGCAAGGCGCTGCATGGAACGCTGCCCTGCCCGCCACAGCTAGTCAGCCTCCTCCCCCTCACAGTCCCCCTCCCTGGCGTCTCCTTTTGCGCCTAATGATGTGTGTGCCCAGAAGCCTCCCTGGCCACTGGGTGCCTCACATTTGCTGCTCTGTTAACATACTCAGCCGGCTGTGTGTCTGGGCTTCTCTGGCCATGGCCTTCCTAGGCAGCATCAGACTCACTCCTGGGCTTGGCTTGCGTTTGTGGGCTAGCACGCCACGTGTTTGACCGACATAATGGCAATACCCCAAATAAACAGGTGCATCTGCAGGTCAGAGTTAAATTCTGGATTCCCCTAAGGCCCAAGTCTCCAAACAGCCCTCAACCCATTTCTTATTCCATAAGTATTGAAATAAATCTCTGGCCCCATTTCTATCTCCATGCCAAGGTTTTGGGTAGAGAAAGACAACCCACAGAATGGGAGAAAATATTTGCAAATCAGCTATCTGATCAGGAACTAGTATCTAGAATACATAAAAAATGTTTGTAACAATAAAAAGACAAATACCACAACTAAAACACGGGTAAGGGATTTGAACAGATACTTCTCCAAAGAAGAGGTACAAATGGCCAAGAAGCACATGAAAAGATGCTCATGGTCATCAGCCATCAGGGAAATGCAAATAAGAGCCACAATGAGATACCACCTCACACCCATCGGTATGGCTAGAATAAACAGAACAGAAACAGAACGGACAGGAACAAGTGTTGCGGAGGGTGCAGAAGTCAAGGAAGGTTCCCATCCCTCCACTCTCGCCTGACCTTACTTTACCTAATTTTCCTAATTATGAAATCAGCACATCAGGTTTCTTTTCTCCCAGAGGGGGGTAGGGGGGCAGTGACAGCCTAGGAGACAAAGTCCAAGGGAGTTCTGGAGAGATGGCACCGGGGTCCCCCCATCATCCCCTGCATGGAAGCTTTACCAGGAGCTGCTCTACAGGAGAAAGTCACCTTTTCTTAAGTCTTTATCTCTGGACCTTGATCACCTCCCTGGCCCAGGCACCACCACAGAGCCAAAATCCTGCCTGTGGGCACCAGTGCCCAGCCCTAGAGTCAGGGCAGGGGCAGAGAAGCATGACTGGGTGCTACTAACTAGTAGCATTTTTAAATGCTTTCCCGGTATCCGCTGGGTTTTGCTTGCTTTTCAAATTAATTTTGCAGCCCAGATTCCTAGGGAAAGAGGCTTTTAAGTACCATTCTGGCTTCAGGGGTTCCCTGGGGGCCCTAAAGAGGCACTTATTTAAAATAAGAGGGGGACCTAACCCCAGCACCTCAAGTCTATCCTGTGGTAACATCCTGCAGAAAGAGAGTCACCAGGGCCATCTGGTCCTCGGCAAGTCAGGCAGCTAGGGACACGGCAAGAAGGTGCAGGGCAGAGAGGCTGCTCTCCAACAGTCGCCCCTCGGCCTCGCACAGCACCCAGATCTGCACATTCAGATGGTAAGGGGGTGCACCATATGGCTGGACCCCACACTGATTTTTAAATTTTAAAATGACCCATGCAAATTCAATTTTCCATCGTATCTATGTCTACATAAATACAACTGAAACAAGTTTCCCTTACTGTGAGCAGTACACTCCAAGAGTTTCAGTTCTTTTTTTGTTTTATTTCTATTTTTATTTTTTTTAAAAAAAGATGACTGGTAAGGGGATCTTAACCCTTGACTTGGTGTTGTCAGCACCACGCTTACCCAGTGAGCAAACCGGCCATCCCTATATGGGATCCGAACCTGGGGCCTTGGTGTTATCAGCACCGCACTCTCCCAAGTGAGCCACAGGCTGGCCCGGTTCTATTTTATTTTACGGAATTGCTGGTGGTGACTCATTAAATTGATTTCAAAATGCCCATTTGAAAAGCACATCCTATACAGCTCCCAGGCTGGCCCGGTTCTATTTTATTTTACGGAATTGCCGGTGGTGACTCATTAAATTGATTTCAAAATGCCCATTTGAAAAGCACATCCTATACAGCTCCCCTGATGACCTCCTGGGCCGGGGCATTGAACCAGGTGGCACTCCCACCGACCCCAGGTTGTGAGCAGGGCCAAAGCTCTCTGAAGGCAGTTGAGGGTGCTGGCTGGGGGCTCTGGTCTTCACAGTGCCCTTCTTTCCCCTCTCCTCCCACCGTCCCAGCAGTCCCCCAGTGGGTCTTCGTCCCAAGAAGGTGGGGACTCCTCTGACCTCCAGTGCCCTCCTCTGAGGGGTAGGGTCCTCTTCCCTGAGTGCCACAGACCTCATGGCCCCATGCCTACCAGGGAGCAGGAATGAGTGGACAGCCCTGGTTACTGGATGTCCGCCTCCCCATACTAGCTAGCACGTGAAGGATGCAGCCCCTTAGCCCAGCCTACCAAGGGCAAGCCTTCACTGGGGTGAGGGGAGGTCCGAGGGAGAAAGGCCACAGAGGGGAGGAGGCTTCAGGCTCAGCTTGATGCAGAAGGAGCAGGGCCTTTGCACCAGAGAGAACCCATGGGTCACTCTTCCTGTTGTCCCTTGTGCTCACCATCTCCAACCAGGATGCTCTGGGGGAGCCTTTGGCCAGCAGCCCCAGGTTACCCTCCCTCTCTGTCCCAACCATCCCTGGGACCCTCCCAAACTCCGTGCACCAGGAAGATGACTCTGGGGTCTCTCTAGCAGAGGCTGTAGTGGTAGGGATGGGCAACGGGCCCCTAGGTGAGGAGCCCCAGGGACACTTGGGGGCCTAGAAAACTTCTCCATGTGGGGAGAGAATCCCGCCCGCTCTGCCCAAGCTGGGGCTCAGTCCCCTGAGGTGGAGAAGGTACTGTGGGCCACCTACCTCCGTCCAGCTCCGGGTCTTGGCCAGAAAGGACACCTCGGCCCCAGCTGTGCTGGTGAGCTGGCTCCTTCTCCCCGACCTGGACAGGTGTCCCCCCACGCCCAGGGGTCTCCCCCCTCCCGCCCACTCCGCAGGGCCGAGTCCTGGGCGGGGGCTGGGGGTGGTGGGCAGCCCCTACCTCTCTGTGTCTCCAGCTGCCCGTAG